GCCGGCAGACAGTTGGTTATAAAAGCCTGTTACTTAACAAAGAAAACCCCTTCCCATTTCATGCTGTCAGCAATGGCACCACATGGAAGAGAAATGTCACAAGGCCTGAGAAAGAAAAAAATTCCTTTATGTAAGAAAGGTGAAGGCTACAAGAAGATCAGCAAAGCTTTACTTATCAGACAGAATATTGTAGCAAAAGTGATACAAAAATGTAATAAAGATGGAACTGCAACCATCTCACAGAGAAGTCCAGGCCGTCCACAGAAGATAACACCTTGACAGGATCGTCTTCTGATGAGCATGGTTGAAGAAAATCACCATGCAAGTTCACTGCAGATAGCTAAAGAAGTAGAAAGCCAAACTGGGGTGTTTGTTTCTGGTGACACAATGCAGAGTACACTGCAGAGGAATGGCATGCATGGGTGTCATCCACAAAAGAAAGCTCATCCTACAAGCCCATGCACAAAAAATCCTGCCTAGAACTTGCTAGGGCTCAAGCTATGTACCCTGCCCATGCACAAAAAAGTTTTTGGAACTGATGACTTTGAAACTTTATGGCATTGCAATAGTGAGGAGTACAAAGAAAAATGCATTGTGCCTACAGTGAACCATGGTGGTGGCAGTGTCCTTCTGTTGGGCTGCATAAGTGCTGCTGGTGTCAGGGAGCTACATTTCATTGATGGTATCATGAATTCACAGATGTACTGCCCTATATTGAAAGAGAAGATGCTACCATCACTTTATAGTCACTTTATAGTCGTGCACGTTTCCAACATGACAATGATCCAAAACACACATCTAAGGCCATTGTTGCATTTCTGAAGAAGAACAGAAAGAAAGTGATTCAGTGGCCAAGTATGTCTCCTGATCTGAACCCAATCGAACACCTATGGGGAATTCTGAAGAGACATCACTCTTCATCCAGCATCCAGGCTCTTAAAGAGGTCCTTCTTTAAGAATAGAAAATGATCGATGTTGCAATACGTTACCAACTTTTTCATTCCATGCCTAGAAAACTTGGTGCTGTCCTTACAAAATCATGGAGGTCATACAAAATACTAGATGTAGTAGTTTTTGTTGTGGGGTGAATTTATTTTTATATTATTAACCCTACTTTCATGTAATGAGCTAAACAAATGTGCTGTAAAACTCAGTTTTCTAAAAAATTTGGAAATTGTTCTTATGTTCATTGAGATATTGATTAAAATCATACTTTTATACTGAGCACTGTATAAATACATAAATAAATAAAATAAAAATTCCAGTATTTATTTATTTTTTTAAATTGAATATGTTTTATAGCAGAAAGTAAAAAATATTAACCACTTACCCTCCAGATGATTTACCTCCCTTCCTAACCAGGCCATTTTTTTGGGATACGGCACTGCATTACATTAACTGACAATTGTGCGATCATGCAAAGCTATACATAAATTACAATTTTGTCTTTTTTTTCCCCACAAATAGAGGTTTCTTTTGGTGGTATTTTATCACCTCTGTGTTTTTTTATTTTTTGAGCCATAAACAAAAAAAGAGCGACAATTTTGAAAAAAAAAAAAGTATATTTTTGACTTTTTTTTATAAAACATATCCAATAAAAATAATTTTAAAAATCAAATGTCATCATAAATTTTGGCCAAAATATATTCTGTGACATGTCTTTGCTAAAAAAAAATCCCAATAAATGTAAATTAATTGGTTTACATGAAAGTTATAGCATTTAAAATGGCGGTATATATACTGAAATTTTTAATTTTAATTTTTTTATACTAGAAATGAGGGTGATCAGCGACTTATTGCGGGACTGCGGCGGGCATTCTGACACTGGGTGGGAACTGATGAACTGCCACTGACATCCCCAGTGACACTAATACAGTGATCAGTGCTAATAAAGAATACTGTACTAATGACATTGGGCAGGAAGGGGTTAACAACTGGGGCAATCAAAGGGTTAATGGTGTGCTGTGTGGTCTGCAATACAATACAAAGCAGCATTTTTGTGCTGACAGGGGAGAGATCTGTATTGTTTACACACAGACCTCTCCCTTGTCAGCTCCGTTGAAGATCACCGAGTTGCAGCCAAGAATCGGCAGACAGGACCCTGTGATTGACATGCCGAGGAGCCAGTAGCGGCACAGGTAGGGAGCACACGCCACCTACTACCCAGAAATACAAATTGCACAAATATATAAAATATATCTATATATCTATATATATACTGTGTATATATATATGTGATTTTGCTCATCCCTGCCACCCTGTAGCAGTACTTCTGCTATAGGGCGGTTGATTAAGCAGTTAAAAAACATTTCTGTCTTTTTTGTTTATATCAAAAATTTTAAATATAAAAAATAAAAAAGTGATCAAATACCACCAAAATAAAAAAAATGTTTAATTTTGTTTGGGTGCAGTGTCACATGATCCGTGCAATTACCAGTTAAAGTAGCGCAGTGCACAGAGCGGTATAGCTGGTCATGAAGGGAGTAAAACCCTCCGGAGCTGAAGTGGTAAAAATATATAACATTACAAAACATAAACTAAAATTGTCCCAGTTTCTCTGTGAGCTCAATCTGCTTTCCAATACTTTGATTGCCATGAAAATGAGACAAGTTATTATACGTACAATAAAAGACAATGGGGGTTTCTGTGTTTCTATCAGTCACCTCCCTGCCTTTTCTTCACAATGGGAGTCTCTTTTTCTACTTACTAAAGACAATTGTGTTGACAGCTGAAGACGCAAAAGAAAAAAAAAAAAGAAAAAAACTTTATTGCAGTGACAGCTATTTACTTTTCACTTCCTGTTAATCATCTTTGCATCTCACGTTGAATTTATGGTTCATTATCTGTTAATTAGACATCGAGAAACAACAAGACAAGCCTTCAATTAGCGGAGATGTGTGATAATAGTCCAGTAATATGCACACACTGTTGTGTAGTAATGCTGTTATCATGGTAATAGAAAAACATTATTAACAAGGGATAGTTATTTCTGAACAGCTTAAGGAATCGTTAATACTCAATTTTTTTTATTTTTTTTATTTTTTTTGTTGTAACTTTAGGAGTACTTACCTTTAAATTAATCCTGTAAGGGGATGGAGGAATTGACAGGAGGAAGTAGCGGTATGGTGAACAAACATGGAGATCATTTAAATGATCCTCTAAGGGCTTGATTTTTTTTTTTGTAACTCTTGATGTTTTTTTAACTCTTCTATACAGCAGTGAATATGTTGCAGCTTTCAAATCAAATAGACAATGTTTGGGTTTTAGTAAAATAGGCTGAAGGGGACTTTTTAAATGCAAAGAGCAAAAGTACCTGAATTGACATTGTATTGGCTTCTTGCAGTCCACTGTATAGCAAAGCTCAGAAAGTTGAGGTAGAAGCAGCACAGAGAGACGTTGCCATTCGTGCTATAGTGCAAAGCTGTCATGTTGATAGGAGAAGAGAGCAGAGTGACATATAAATCAGCTTTCCTTTCACTGCCCAATCATAGCTTTTCTCCTCAACCCCCAGCATGTGATTGGACAGTAAAATAAAAAGCAACAGACTGATAACTTCATTGCCAAGTTGGACCGCCCTTATAAGATTTCTTGCTGTCCCCTGGATTTAGAGATTTTTACTTATTTATTTATAATATTTATTTTATTTATTATTTTATATTATTATTTATTTTTTTTTTTTCATTGGTTGAACTAGATAGACTTGTGTTTATTTTTTAACTTGACTAACTATGTAAGTTGAGCTTGACCTTTATTGTTATTACTGGATTGATGTGTTTATTTTATCTTTTTTCTGTGTTTTGTTTTACTTAATTCTGTGTGGTTTGATTTATTCTTGCTTCAAACTAAAACAGACTTTATGGACCTCAGACCCTTACAGCCAGCTCCTGCCATTCCTTTAATTGGTTCCTAAGTCCTCATGCACACTTGACATTTTTACAGCGGCTGTTTTTGGCTTTTGACGTTTTTTTCTACAGCCAGTAAACTCCCCAGCATGTTATCCTATGTGTCCATACACACATAGACTATAATCAGCGTTTTTTGGCTGGGACGTTTTTTGGCTGGAAAAAAAACCCAGAAGAAGTGGGTTTCTAGAGGATCTTTTTAGCTGTAAAAATGCTGTAATGCTGAAAAAAAACGGCAAAATGTTGAAAACCGGCATTTTTGGATTTTTTTTTTACCAAAAAAATATTTTGTTTTGGTTAAAAAAAAGCTAAAAAACGCAAACGCGGAAAAATGCCAGGAAACTATTAAAAAAGCGGAAAAACATACGTTTTTAATGCAACTTTACACAGCTAACGTTACCAGCGTTATCAAAACGCCCCGTGTGCATGGAGCCTCATACCAAAGGCATTTCATGGGCACCTTGTGAGTGGCTGTCACAGTGATAATTGAAACAGGAAGCTGTCAGTGACAGCATGGTCTGAGTGTTGGGGGAACTCTCTCAGCGTAAAAAACCCAGCAGCTGTATGCATATGTGTGTCACCATAGTCTTATATCCCAACACCGCTCTGTATATTCATGGCTAGCAGCAACAGGTTAACCAAGTCTTCCCTGTTTGATGTAGTGCCTCCTGTCTTATTTATGTTTTTTATCCTTTTCATGTTACACTTCTGAAATGGAACATATCTTGACATCCCCTAGTCATATTAATCACTAGCCTACAGGGCACTTATACCCCCTTCCTGCCCAGGCCAATTTCCAGCTTTCAGCGCTAATGCAGTTTGAATGACAATTGCGCGGTCATGCAACACTGTACCCATATGACATTTTTATAATTTTTTTTGTGGCAGATAGAGCTTTATTTTGGTGGTATTTTTTTTTTTTAACAAACCAAAAACCACTGAAAATTTTGAAAAAAAAACATTTTTTTTTTTCTTAGTTTTTGTTATAAAATTTAGTAAATAAGTGATTTTTCTCCTTCACTGATGTGCGCTAATGAGGCTGCACTGATGGGCACTGATAGGCTGCACTGATGGACACTGATAGGTGGCACTGATGGGCACTGATGAGGAGGCACTGGTAGGTGGCACTGATGGCCATTGACAGGCATCACTGATGGGCACTGAAAGGCAGCACTCATATATGGCACTGATAGGCGGCACTGATAGGCGACACTGACTGGCCCTGATAGGTGGCCCTGATAGGTGGCACTGACTGGCACTGATGGGTGACACTGAAAGACAGATCAGATGGCACTGATATGTGGCATTGATGTGGCACTGATGGGCACTGATATGTGGCACTGATGGGCACTGGCTGGTGGCATGGATGAGCATTGAGAGCTGGCACTGATGGACACTGACAGGTGGCATTGCTGGGGCTACACTGATCATCAGGGCACACTGATCATCAGTGCTCTGATGATCTGTGTACATGTACCCTCCAAGGAATGCCGATTATCGGCTCTCCTCTCCACACGAGCTGTCTGCGTGACAGCTCGTGGGGAGAGAAATGCCAATAACTGGCATTTCCCTGTTTACATGTGATCAGCTGTGATTGGACACAGCTGATCACATGACCAAACCGACATCTTCAGCTCTTTCCGTGGATCAGTGATCCGCTGTGTCCGAGGGACACAGCGCACCACCGAATGCTGCGCAGCGGGCTTCGGGAGCCGCGCATGCGCGGTTAGAATAGGAGGATGTCATATGACGTCCTACCAGAACGAGAGAATCACCTTGCATCCATCATATTACTATATGGCGGGCGGGAGGCGGTTAAAGATGAAACTCAAGAAGTATTAGAAGTTTAAGATGTCGATATGGCTAGATTTCTCTCCAAGTACTCAATGGCTTGTGTTTAAAGCAGCTAGATAAGAATGGGCAGTTCCTAGTATGGCATTTACAATTTTCATTTACTTTTTTAAATGTTTCTTTCTTGTGTAAAAAATTAATCAGAAAAAAAGAAGGGAAATACATGGTTTGAGAACTACAGAGGAAAGTCAAATGTCAACCATACCAACCAGCACAGATACGGGTCCATTTATTACAAAAAAATGTGTTACGCATTTGTACAGAAGTCACAAAAAAATCACCTTATGTTTTATGTTCACTTACTATGATCGGCAGCTCTGTCTAGTGGCCATAATGCAATGTTTCCTTGATTGGGTTATTTCAGGAAGATGATAAACAGATGCATTTTTAAAAAATAAAACACCAATGTTCAACTTTTAAATTTTTTCATCTTTTGTTCCATTTTAGCGCTGCGTATCTCCTACAGGCTTTTTGTGCTCCGGTAATGGCTGTATGGTATTTCTCAGGGTGGGTTTTCTGATGGTGACAACTGGGGAAAATGGCTGTGTAATATGTGCCAAAACAACCACTTCTATTATTTTCCATTGGAAGCCCATGAGATGGAATGACAATGCAGAAGAGCAATAGGAATAAAAATGGAAATTGAAGTGCCACACCACTGCTAAGAAGTCCAGATGCAAATGTATTCAATAAAAGTCAAGGGACAATCTAAAAAATATCTGTTTCAGAGCTCCAAAAACATCCCCTTTATCAGGAATTAATTGGAAACAATGTCAATAGACTAGAAGTGAACTGGACCTTTAATGTTATTTTTTCCAGTGTGATTACAAGCACAGACCTTGTCAGCAGCTGGTTTGACAGCCCTTGAGGGCAATAGAAGATAGGGACAGGGTTTTCAGGCTTTTCATTGCAAAGTTAACAAGATGTAACCATGTACAGGCTTTTTCAAATAGGTACATACAGTGGGGAAAATAATTATTTGATCCCTGCAGATTTTGAAAGTTTGCCCACTTACAAAGAGATGAAGGGTCTATACTTTTTTTTATCATAGTTGTATTTTAAATGATACAGACAGAATATCAACCAAAAATCCTGAAAAAAACACATGATACAAATATTATAAATTGAGTTGCAGTTTAATAAGTAAAATAAGTATTTGATCCTCAAGCAAAACATGACTTGGTACTTGGTGGAGAAACCCATGTTGGCGAGCACAGAGGTAAGATGTTTCTTGTAGTTGGTTATCGGGTTTGCACACATCTCAGGAGGAATTTTGGTCCACTCTTCTTTACTGATCTTCTCTAAATCCTTAAGGTTTTTTGGCTGCCGCTTGGCAACTCAAAGGTTCAGATCTCTCCATAGATTATCTATAGGATTAAGGTCTGGAGATTGGCTTCTTTAGCCGTTTCTTGTTTTGGGTCATTATCATGCTGGAAGACCCATCCATGACCCATCTTCAATGTTCTGGCTGAAGGAAGAAGGTTCTCATCTTTATAGTAAAAAGGTCCGGTCCGAGGCTCCGAGCATGTAGGCCTTTTACAAAATAATCTAGAGTGGACAACTGGGGACAAAGAGAAGGCAAATTTATTAAACATCTTCTTCAGCTCTGTGTATACAAAGGGGCATGGGGGAGCTCTTGTCCATAATGGGCATAGTATTGACACAGCTCCAAATGATCCGCATTGGCTCACAACTGATATGATACAAAAATATTTAGACAGAATAAAGGTGAATAAAGCACCTGGACCGGATGGCATAAACTCACGGGTCCTTTAAAGAATTGAGCTCTGTCATTTCAAAGCCATTGTTTCTAATTTTTAGGGACTCTTTAATGACTGGCATAGTTCCATCGGATTGGCGTAAGGCCAATATTTAAAAAAGGGGTAAAAATCTTTACCAAGTAATTATAAACCTGTTAGTTTAACTTCTATAGTTGAGAAGATACTGGAGAGTTTAATAAAAGACCACATAGATGAGTTCTTGCTGGAAAAAAAATATTTTAGTGAGCAAAACCTTGGACAGAGGGATGGCGGTGAATGTGGTATACCTCAATTTTGCAACAGCATTTGACAGAGTTCCCCACACACAGCTAATATGTAAGGTAACGTCTACAAGCTTGGAAAAATCCATATGTAAATGGATAGAAAACTGGCTAAAAGATCATATTCAGAGAGTAGTGGTTAATGATCCATACTCTAAATGGTCTAGGATTGTCAGTGGTGTACCCCAAGGTTCAGTATTGGGACCCTTACTTTTTAATATATTTATAAACGATATAGGGTCTGGGATTATAAATACCATTTCAGTCTTTGCAGATGACACCAAGCTGTGCAGTGGAATAACGTCCTTACAGGATGTCTCCAACTTACAAGCCGGCCTCAATGCACTGTTTAATTGGGCAACTATGTGGCAAATGAGGTTTAATGTTGATAAATGTAAGGTTCTGCACTTAGGGGCTAAGAATATGCATGCATCATACATACTAGGGGGGGTACAACTGGGGAAATCAATGGTGGAGAAGGATCTGGGAGGAGTTCTGGTAGATCACAAGCTTAATAATGGCATGCAATGCCAAGCTGCGGTTTCTAAAGCGAGCAAAATCCTCTCTTGTATTAAAAGAGGTATAGACTCCAGAGAGAGAGATATCATTTCCCCCCCGGTACAAATCATTAGTAAGACCTCATCTGGAATATGCAGTTAGTTTTTGGGCAACAATTCACAAAAAGAACATTGGGGAACTGGAGAAAGTGCAGAGAAGGGCAACCAAACTGATAAGAGGCATGGAGGAGCTCAGCTATGAGGAAAGATTAGAGGAACTGAATTTATTTTCTCTCTAGAAGGGGAGATTAAGGGGGATATGATCAACATGTATAAATACATCAGTGGTTCATATAGTTCATAATTATTCACCCTGAGGTCATCACAGCGGACAAGGGGGCACTCTTTACATCTGGAGGAAAATAAATTTAATCTCCAAACAGGGAAAGGTTTCTTCACAGTGAAAGCTGTAAAATGTGGAATAGACTCCCTTAAGAGTTGGTTTTTGCCAGCTCAGTGGATTTCTTTAAAAAAGGCCTGGATTCTTTCTTGGATACACAGAATATAATGGGATACTAACATTTATAGGTAAAGTTGATCCAGGGAATATCCGGCAGCCTCTCGGGGGATCAGGAAAGAATGTTTTCCCCTGCAGGAGCAAATTGGATCATGCTTTGTTAGGGGTTTTTTTTTTTGCCTTCCTCTGGATCAACTGTGGGTGTAGGATTATAACTTTTTTTTTTTAAATGGTTGAACTGAATGAACTTTTGTCTTTTTTCAGCCAGACTAACTATGTAACTATGTAAGACATTTTACAATACATGGCCCTGTCCATTGGCCCCTCAATGCAGAAAATTCGGCCTGCAAAATAACTGTCCCAAAGCATAATGTTTCCACCTTTGTGCTTGACTGTAGGATAGTGTTCTTGGGGTCATAGTCAGCATGTTTTTTTTCCTCCAAACATGGCGAATCGAGTTAATGCCAAAAAGCTCAGTTTTGGCCTCATCTGACCACAGCACTTTCTCCCAGTCCTTCTCTGAATCATTTAGATGTTCATTGGCAAAACTTCAGGCCTGTACATGTGCCTTCTTGAAGAGGAGGACCTTGCGGGCGCTGCAGGATTTCAATCCATGGTGGCATATTGTGTAGCCAATAGTTTGCTTGGTGACTGTGGTCCCAACTGCCTTGAGATCATTCACAAGCTCCTCCCATGTAGTTCTGGGCTGATCCCTCACTTTTCTCATGATTATGAGAAAAGTTGCAGCAACCAGTCTGCCCATTCTCCTCTGACATCAACAAGGCATTTTCATCCACACAACTGCTGCTCACTGCATATTTTCTCTTTTTTGGACCATTCTCTGTAAACCATAGAGATGATTGTGCGTAAAAATCCAAGTAGACCAGCAGTTTTAGAAATACTAAGACTATCCCGTCCGGCACCAGCAACCTTGCCACATTTAAAGTCACTTAAATTCCCTTTGTTCCCTATTCTGATGCTCAGTTTGAACTTCAGAAAATTGTCTTCACAATGTCTACATGCCTACATGCATTGAGTTGCTGCCATGTGATTGGCTGATTAGCAACTTGTGTTACCAAGCAATTGAACAGGTGTACCTAATAAAGTGGCAGGTGAGTGTATATATGACAAATTTATTTATTTATTTTTCAATTGGTTGAACTTTATAGACTTCTGTAGTAGTAGTAGTATAGACTACACCTTTATTGCAAAACAACTCCTTTAAAGGAAGCCTCACTTCCATTGGTTCAGCACTATTACACACATATCAGACAGAAATGAGCTACAGTATGTGGCATTTGACACTGATTAATTTTGCCAGCATCCCCAGCTTCCACAGAGGGCTTCCTCTGAGTACCATGTTGTCTAATGAAATGGTTGGACGATTGTGATTATGTCAGTGACATTGAAGGTTCATATGATAAATGAAAGGGCATCTCTTAAAGATTGTTTCCATTAAGGTAGCTTTGCGTAGTTTGGTATCAAGCTACTCTTTCCACATTAATGTTTTAATGAAGACAAGAAGGTTTGCCAGAGTGAGGGACTTAGAGAACAAGTATCTTCATGACATGATCAACAGATATTATGTTAATGAAAGCTGTAGATTTAAACATTTTTTAAATATTTTTTTAAATGACATTAACATGTTAAAACATTTATCGGATTTCACTTTAAACTCTGTTGCCTGGGCAGTGCTAAAACACTA